AAACGTGGCTCCTCTGACTCGTGTGTTTGGGAAGCTGCGTTTTAGCCAAACTGCAAACTCAGGAATGATTTAGAAAATAAAATAAAATAGTAAATGCAGGATGAAGCAGGTTCACGTATGAAGCCGTCAGCAGCGCATGAAGGGCCTCCAGCTCGGTGGTGCTGCTGTGCTCAGAGCTGCTGGCTTCAGATGGACTCCAGGTGAGCGTGCTGCCGTCACACCTGGACCCTCCGACCCGGGCTGAGCGGAGCCCGCAGGCTGCTGCTGTGGACGGTTCTGTGCTCAGTCCTCAGAAATGTTCTAAAAGTGCAGCGTGGCGACTGCAGACAAACATCCGCGCACACATGCGTTCAGAAGCCACCCAGACAGCCAGACCCTAACCCGGTGTCGGTGGGGGGGTCGGACCGGCCCCTGGGGGTCAAGGTCAAGTTTAACACGGAAAGAGAGAGGAGGGGGTGGAGGGCTGCAGACAGGAAGACAGACAGATGTAATGAGCTCAAGTTCAAGGCCGCCGCCGCCGCACACCTTGAAGCTTCTCCTGCGTGTGACCGTGCGCGCCACCGTGCAGATGACACGGGAGACATCCCGCTGCTGCCCCGGTGACGGACACCGACGGGGCCCGATGCAAACATCCGGAACAAACCCCGAACAGAATCCTGCTCAACACGCACAGACCGATCAACTGAGAACCGATCCAGACATCTTTATTCACCTTCAGATCGCCCCACAATGCTTCACTTCAACACAAACACGCGCACAGCATTGTGTGGGTTTTTCTCACCGGATCAGAGCAACGCGGCTCCGAACTCTGCCCACGTCACTGTGTTCTGACCCACTGTCCATCCATCCATCCATTCCACACCGCCTAGTCCTCACCAGGCCTGACCCACTGCTTCAGCTTCAAATGAATAAAGGTCTCCGTGAAAGTGAACGTTTTAAAGGCCAGACCTGCGTCACACAACTTCATCTGTTCACTGAATTCATTAGTACTAAAATAAAATAAAATAAGGAAGAGGGAGAGAGGACAGCCCTCTGACGGGTCATGTTTATTATTCATCTATTTATTTTTCTACCTTTTATCTCAGAAAACTTCTAGATCTGGAAGCTGCTCGAATTGTTCCACAAAACCTGTTTTTCATCAGCCTCCAGTCCACGATGGTGAGAAGTCAAGAAGAAGAAAAATGGAGCAAAACGTGCACATTACAGAAAACACGGTGAGTAGACGGACTGAAGGAGGGAAGGAGTGAAGGAGAGGAGGAGAGAAGGAGAGAAGGAGAGGAGCTGTTTGCAGGTTCATTCAGTGCGTAAGCGCGCGTACGTGACAGCAGCTACTTCCTCCTATTTAATGAGCTGTAGCCACGATGTGCGCGCGCGGGCTGATGATTGACATGATGACAAGATTTCCCGCCAATAAAACAGATCAGAACTTTAAAGGAGATGTGAGGATTGATCAGAGGAACTGATGTGAGCTGAAGCCTGATGCTCCTTCGTTTGTTCCGAACCCATTCCGGGCCCATTTTAAGTTAAATACGTCGGACTGCTTTGCGCATGACAGTAGCTCCTCGTTGCTCCAGTTCCATCGTGTTTGATGTCATTTAGTTTTTATTTTTAAGTTTTAAATGAAGCTAATATTTAGTTTGATGTGTTGATTTTCTCACGTGGAACTCAGAGTCAACCGTTCAGGCCACGCGCGGCTGTAAACGGAGCCACACGGTTCACACCAGACACCATCTAAAACACGGAGGTGACAGCAGAGAGCTGACAGATACAGGGCTTATGAAGGGCTGCTGGGCGGCCACAACGATGCTCTCAAAAATCAGCAACACGCCAAATGAAGCTTTAAAACGTGCACGTGTCAGCGCGCGACTGATTTATTCCAGAGTGTCTGATTCTGAGGACAGAGAAGGAAACTGATCTGATAGCGCCTCAGTGGTAAAGCTGCACACAGGAGTTTAAGGAGGACTCAGATGGAAGCTGCTCTTCATGTCTGTGCATCGTGTCCGTGGAGTTTGGGGAGAGGTCTGCTGTCTGAACACTGCAAACAAATGATTTAATCCTAATAATCATGTATGTTTTCATAGTCAAATACAACGTTTGACGGTTGTTTTTACAGATTTGACTGTTTTGGTAAATTACAGAAAATAATTATTATGAATCACAGATTAAATTAAAAGTGAAGTCAAATGATTGACAGCTCAGAGAAATAAAAAGCGTCACGTCTGAGGAGAAATAACAGCCTGTTGATGTGCTAAAATCAGCCAAAAAATATCAGCACATATTTGCTATTAGTTGGAAGAAAAACTATCGTGGATTTAAAAAAAAAAAAAAAAAAAGCTTGAAGCTATCAGCAGCATGAAGATGTTCCGTCCAAATCCAGCTTCTTTAAAAACGTGTTTTTAATAACGGTGACACTTCTGACAGATTAAACAGGTAATACTGTGTTTAAGATAATAAATATGAACAAGTAATAATAA